AGGATCTTCTACTTTTAACCAAACTAGCTTCAATGTTTCACTATAGTAGAATACTACTACTTATACTACTTTTTTTCAATAAATAATGTCTTGAAACTCATAAACTTAATTGTAAGACTAGTACATTCATCTGAGTTGTTCCGCTCAGAATCTAATTTAAAATATTAACTTAAATATTGAATAGCATMAAATCCATTKCTATATATTTTACCGTATACATCGACCGATATTTATAATTAGYCCTGGTCTAATATTGTCCACCATCTACTTTTATAAATTAGGTTCAGKWGGAGATTATATAAAAAAATATATGGCTAAAACTTCACAATATTATTTGTTTGACGTCGTTTAAATTTTAAWTGAGTCTTATAGGATACCTTTTAGGTGATAGTTAAAAATTGAAAATATTGTATCGTAGTATCACCCAGTTTAATATATATTTTTATTATTTACAGAGTATAGACTCGCCACCAGCAGAGCCATCAGAAGTTGAAGTTCCCCATCATTGGGTAAGATTTTTTTATTAGTTCATTGTTTTATCATTTGTAGTCTGTGTTTCGATTCAAAATCTTAAAAAAATCGGAAAAAATAAAACGAAAACACTTTTGGTTCCTATATAATACCTATAAAGTGTAATTTATTTCTTCGTGTCCCAATATTCATTTTTGATACACCTGATCTTGCACCTTAAATTTATAATAACTTTTTGAGGTTTCAGATTATTTTTTAGTAGCTTAAACAATTATGTTTCACGCGTATACATGTAGTGTGCTGTTGTGTGTTATTGCAGAATTGATCACGATTTATTCTAGTGTTATTATATTTAGCTTTGCAAAGTTATCAGATTAGTTATTAACTATAACTATTATAATATCTAATACGTTGGTAAAAAATCTATATATATTTTTAATTAGACGTTTGAAATTTATTTTGTAAGCTATATTTTGTATTTAATTTTGTGGTATTGAAAATTATATATTTTAAAAATATAAAATTAATTGATATTTAATTTTTTGAAATTAAAAACGATATGTCTTTAAAATGTTAAAGTACGATATATTTTTAAAAGGTATATAAAAAAATATATAAAAGGCATATTTTACTTATTTGATCCATTGCCCATTAGTWAGTAATGTTTACAATGTATGGTTCTTCATATTTAACCCCAACAAAGAAAACTAAAAACACTTGTTTTTGTTTATACAGCTTAGCAAGCAATTACTCTTAGCAATTCCTTTGTTCTACATTTTAACATGTAAATAAATTAAATATCCGCAATAATGTATTATCTAAATGAATATTGGTTCAATAGGTAGCTTAGAAAYTAATTGTTTCCTATATCAACGGTGTTTTGGGTAAAAATAATTTAATAATTTTTTAATTTTTGTGAAAAGTTTTAAACTTCTTATTAAATAAAATATGTTTCATTAAAATTCGTCTAAGATATTATATGTGCGTATAATTAGACTTAAATTATTAGAATTAGAAATAAATCAATTTATGTATGTATATTTATTAATTATAATCTATGCTCTATTATAGTATTATAAATAAATTGTAGTAGGAATGCAAAATTATATTTACTAAGTTCGAGAATCGAAAAATATTTTGGCCGAATCTCGGATTTATCCATTATATTTTGTATTTTATAATGTATTATATACATTTATAATTAATTTATCTACTCATCCCAAATATATCCTATATTATAATWATACGTGATCATATTAGTAATGAGCTAATAACATAATATATCATTTACTGATTAAAATTGGTGCAAGATTTGGTATACGAGAATTTTAATCAAATCTTATACATATTTGTTGTCTTCGAGTTATAAGACATTTTGGCTTATTTTTTATTTAGTATGAGTTATAAATAAAGTATTTTTTAAAGTTGTTTAGTTTATGTTTTTAATTTTAATTTTATAATGCTCTATTCGCTATTTATTACTTGTAAATAATTTTTTATTGATATAGAAATTAAATAAACTTCCGATACCCTATAAGTACCTCGTTGATAAAATGTAATTCACTAGGTATTCTTTCATTTTAAAATCACATATTTTAAACAGGTATTCAGATTTCCARTATTCTTGGCAAGATKATTTACAACTCTATATTAATAAAATATATATTGTATAATTTATTACCAATAATTATTTGTATTGTACGTTAGGAACCTAGTACGCGTATACGATGATTTTTAAATACGCTGGTTGAGATTCAAGTTCATAAAAACCAACGCCGGACTGTGTATTATTTATGGAATTTGTACGATGCTGCGTAACAAATGTTGATTTTAATGTAATTTGTTAACCTTTTTTTCATAAATATTGTATAGAATTTAGTCCCCTTATTCTTTTTGTGCACGGGTTTACCAAACGTTCCTTTTTTTTGTCCGTCTTTGAAGCGTGCTCTCACGGATGTTCGCTTTTCGGCCTCCGCGGTGATGGGGTAGTGSGATATTATTATTATATACGTGTGTAGCAGTAATATAATTTTTGTAGCTCAGCAAGAAAGGACCAGTAGTTCAATAGTTTGAAACATCTGGCAAAGTGGCATCCGATGTAGGTAGGATACACCGTGGCAGCACACAGTGYTCGGTTCTAACTATTCAGACAACACCGCCGTCATGGTGYGTCTACCACTCCCCTCCAGCTCATGCTGGCCCATGACCAATGCCTTGAACGACAAGGGCTCTTTAGTTTTAATGAATGAAATCTTAATTTTTAACGGCACACCCATTTCATAATGATTTTGATAAAATAAGTTTTTGTATAATAATTTCGTTAATCTTAGAAAAAAAGTATAATTACTAAGTAATTGGTAAGAAACTAATGAAAAGAGCCCTTTGTTTTACGAATTATAAGTAACTTTTATTAAAAATACTGTTTTTAACAGTGAAAATCATTGGTTTTTAAAATCACTGCACGAATCGTGATAAAGTATACATTACACAATATGTACGCACGTAATTATACATATAAACTAAATKAAGTTTGATGTATTACATATTATATTAATTATTGATAGAATTTTTAATATTATAGAATGCTTAAATGCAAAATAAAATAACAATAATAATTATAATCATTAAAAATATTAAAATTTAATTTGTTGATTCTGGACGGAGTGATTAATGATAAYCACTATTGAAAGTTATATATTTTTACTTTATAGTAATTTAGTATTTATTTGGAAAATCGTTGTTTTGTTAGTAATTTTTTAATTATTATTAAAACATTTTCATACAATTTACAAACAGTATTTATTTAAATTTATTATATGTAGTAGTACCACAGAATAAGACAATAGTACGTTACATAAAATAGATATAAAAAGCTTTTATCAGTGAAATCTAGTTTTTGTTTGATAGGGGAAGGAACCCTTGTAAAATCATGTAAGACGAACCTTCACATGATGCAGGATATGAGGATCTTAAATATCTGATTTCTATATTAACCATCCCATTGAGGGGATAATGTTATAAGTGCTTATACTTGGTTGCCAATATCTGCTATTAAATTTCATCCCCGTTGTCTGTTCATAATATGCGTATGGCTTTAAAACGCATACCATATTTTTTTTTTAAATATCGTAACACATATGTATGATCTTTAAATAACTCATCATGCTAATTAGAGTATTTTAAATATATACCTAGTTTAATTGCCATTGCAAATGAGCATCGTATCAGTAAAATTGAAATACAGTATTGAAGTTAAATCATTGAAAAAATACAATAAATTGCATGCAAGACGCAGGTGTATACTTAGTACTTACTACTTATTAATCTAATCTATATTAATATATTACTATTTARTATAATAMTATGTAGGTATTTATGAAAGATCGAAATTTAATAGTCCTAGATGAACCTGTTTTTATACTAGTTATAATATTCATTGGTCCATTTAGTATTTCAAACTTCCAATATTATAATTTACTGGCGAGTATGTTTGGTGGTATTGGTCGAAATTAAGTTATGACATTTTAACATATTTAATTTCAATACGGCTGATCWACAATAGATACTAATGATATAATAAAATAGATAAGTACAATTTATAGGTAGACGTACATATATATGATATATTAGATATTATGTACCTACGTAATAATATTATATAGTTGTTATCGTTAGCGTTCGTAACGCGGTCCAGCAAAACAAGTGGGTACCGACTATATCGCGGAAATATTGTCTTTTGTAATAATTTATAGGATAGGACGACAATCGTCTGTCGAGTGATGTATTCGGTTTTGACTTGTGATTTACGGCGCCGTGTGTGTATGTGATATTAATCGAAACATTTACACGGTGTTTGAAATATGAAAAAACGTATTCATTAAACGCGTTATTGTTCGGGAGAAAAAAAATAGTAAGGTACAACAATGATTGTGTCGTGTCGTGTCGTGTATATTGTTCCGATGAGACCCGCGCGTACATACTACATAAAATACATTATGTATTATTATATCTATGGTGTATTTTTTTTTATCCCGCGGTAGTTCTGCTGCAGCAGCAGCAGCAGCAGTGGCAAGCGCAGAGCTAAGAGGAGAGCATCGTCGATGGTTGGCAGCAGTGTTGCGCGAGGGGTCTACACACGATCGTCGTATTACTTTAGTGCATATCCTCTGCGTTTTATTGTGCCGTATTACTATATACACGCACGTCGCATGGAATATATATATGCTATATGAACTCGCCATATACATTATATTATATACATGCACTATATACATTATACTGTATATATATATATATAGTTTATGCGGCGGCGGTGGCATAGGCAGGTGGTAGTGCGGCGGCGGTGGTTATACAGTGTACCGTGTACGGCAGCGGTTCAGAGGTGGTGGTGTATATACATACATATAATATAATATATATATATATCATATACGAAGCATACGCACACGCACACGTTTGCGCGCGCGCTCGTATCGTGTATTCGTACGTAGAGCCTGTTGCTCCTTCGCTGTAGCAGCGCGGTCCGCGTTTCAGTGTAACGGCGGCTTTCCGTGACAATGGACACGATGCCGAAGTCGTCCTCCTAATCCCGCCCAGCAGTGCGTGGCTTCGCGCAGTGAGTGAGTGCGAGAGAGTGAGAGAGTAACATAGAGACGCTGACGGGGAGACCTCTCGTACGTCGTCGTCACGTGCTGCGTGCGTTGTTTCCGTCGTCGTCGTGCCGCCGCCGTRTCCGTGTGTCGTTTCGCGCGCGCGTGCGTGTGTTTTTGACGTGTGCGTGCGCGTGTGTACCACACAGCGACCATCTGTTCGCGCCCCGACATCATCGTCGTCGCGTATTTCGCGTGTGACGGGGGAACAGAAAAAAAATTCAGGCAAAGAGGGTCGTGTTGTATACAAGCAGGCGGCGTAGGAGGAGTAGGGTGATCATCGAATACGATTTTCGTTGTAATATTATAATATAATATTATATAGTACGATCTCCACTGCGACCACCGGGGTTAAAGATCATCGTCAACCGCCGGCATGCATCACTACCGTACCAGAGAAGACGAGACCCCTTGCGGGGGCGACCCGTATTTCTATCTTAGGCTCTCAGCCGGCGCGGCCCCCTACAGCCCCATCAAGCTCGAAGTGGACGTGAAACCCGAACCCCACATGACGCCCGTCGATTGCTTGCAACACGGTTCCTCACCGGTCGACTCGGGTTCCGCGGTGATAGATACTGTCGGTGGTTGCGGTAATGCCGCTGTCGTGGCGGATATCGGTGGTTGTGGCGGCGTTATCGTGGGCGACGGTGTCGGTGTCCGTTGCAAAGACGAAGGGGGCGCAACCGGAATCGGTCTGCTGGCTCTCACGCAGCTTGACGGTTACGGCGGCTATAACAATAAGTCGTACTGTCATGCCGACGGCGGTGCGGTCGACTTGCAGCTGCAGCATGACCGCGTCGGCGACGACGACATCGACAAAGACCACTGCAAATATTCGTACGGTCGACTGATATACTCATCGCCCGATGATGATAATGTTATAAAACATCAGGTATATTCGAAATTATCTTCACTTTTCAATATCTATTTCATTGTAATGTGGTAATACACGGTATGATCGTGTATGACTTTAGAATAATTATCAATTACATTATTCTCGTCTCAACCACTGTCTGCTTTATTATATTTGAGTTTTCTACGTATAATATATTAAATTGTATATTGTACATATATGTATTATATTATTATGCTTTTTTGAATGAATGTATTTTCATCTGTGGTTCAAAATATAAACACCATTAGGTACATCTGCTCTTATCTAAAAAGAAAATTCGTACCTCACTCTTTTCTGAATTTTATACAGGCTACCTTATAGTTTGTGGGTATGAGAAGTTTAATAAACAGTTCTTGGAGAACTCTAATGCAGTTCAATAAGCTACACTATAGTTTTCTTACCTACTGTAACTATATTTCCTACATTTTATTTTTGTACTGCACACAAGACGCAACAATAGAGGTACCTGTATAATAATTATGTTATAGTATATAATAGCCAAGTTTGAACAATTTGAAGCGTGTTTGTAAAAATAGAGCTTATAACATCATGACTATAATTATCTTGACTTCATAATATATCAACAGCCGTTTTCGTTGTTTTCATCTGAATACAATTATTTGATTCGAATTATGTTGTTATTCGATATTGAAAATTTTTTAAATAAAAAGTTAAAAAATAAGTTTATATTGGTTATTGTATATTTGTATATTTAGCTAAAGTTGTACACTTTAGAGATTATCTCCAGAATAATACAATGTWAATAAAATAACACTTAAAAAAWAWAWGAATGGACAATCAATTTCCTAATGCACTAAATTGTATAGTTACCGGTGATTAATACCCTATCATTCTTTTTCATAATTGATCCCCTATAATGTATATAATATATACATTACTATTATGTATCGATTTAATTTAAATTTTGTTGAAGACTATTTGAACTTGTTCGCCACTTATTACACTTATTAAAGTATTTTAAACATAAATTTATTATTTTGCCATGTCATAATAATTTCGATGTACAGAGACCGAGGTGTATGACCCCTATCATCCGATGTAACTGGTAAAGGATTTGGAACGTCTTGGAATGACAGGGTGTCAGTGATATTTTATATTTTGTTAATAAAATAACTAATTTTTTAAATTCGAACAAAACAAACATTTTAAGCACGCTAAAAAATCTCATCTCAAAGGTTTATTCGATTATTTTTATATCTTTATTTTTTATTTTTGTAGCATATAATTTATTAAAATAGAGTGAAGTTAAAAATGCTTGCCCTGGTTAAAAAAGTGTTATCGAATATACACTAGGCAGCAGCAGTTACACCGTATGAAATAGCTATAAGTAGGTCTTTATTGTTGATTATATTATTTTGTAAGGTGAACCAAACCAGTTGGCAGATGTTATAAAACACACCTGCCTGCATCCTCACAACAATGGTCTCCTACTCACCGCACCTCTAAAGTATAGCTTGATTCTTTTTTTCTCCGGTTTTGTCTATCTAAGCCAACTTAAAATTAATAAATTTCACATTTTAGTTTTACGCTCATGTCATGATTATTATGTATACTGTATATAATATGTACACATATTCCATTTGTTCGTTAAGCAAATTTGATATGATTACCTATTGCAATTTGCGATGAATTACAAGCTTAAATTAAAAACTAATTTGAATTAGTTACATAACGGAATATTATACACCTAGTTCAAATTTAGTAATTCTATAAACGTTTCGATTTTTAGATTATTAAACATTATAATGATTTTATTTCATAGTAGAAATGTAATTTGACTTTTAATACTCACGTCTCACGATGTGTTTGTTGTTTGAATAATCAGTTGCGAGTACATGGAGCATAATCCCTCTCTAAATCTATAATAGGTAGGTAATTATTAATTATATTATTTTGACACTATTTATTTTTCTTTGTTAGTTAATTAGGTATGTTATATTATTATATGTAACATAATATATTATATACGTTATGCGCATTTCTAAATGTCTCCCAATAAATTAAAATTCTGAATCTATGTATCTGCATATTAAAATAATTTTGGTTAAATTTTTAAAATAAATTGTATTTAGGTATTCATGTCGGATATGAATATGTTATGGCTATCTCTATGATCATTAAACATAGATTAGCTATTAAAATAAACCAGATAAGTCGCTCTGCTGTATAGTAGRGGTTAGACATTACTCATTGTAATCAATGTAATAAATTTTAATTATAAATTTTTGCATATAAGTACGAAAAGTGATAAAAAGAAAATTATAATTTATAAGTAAATATTGCGAACCGCAAAACTGTGGAAGTGTAGGTTTGTATAATTAGTAAAAGTATAATGCTGAATACCGTCTAGTCCCCACGTTAAATATGTTTTTAATCATTGTTCTTCGGTTAAATCTTAAATATACAATTTTGTGAAAGTGAGACCTTCAAATAATATGTATAAAAAAAATTGTGTCTATTAACAATATATCATTGATATTTTTAAATATCTGTAATTACTAATTACAACTTATTAGAAATCTTGTCATACATTTTTCAATATGCAAAACAATTTTTCAACAATTTTTATTTTTTAGAAAAAATATGAACATTTAAAATACTTATAAATAGCTCAAAATAAACCTAAATATTTGATTATTCGAGAAACAGAGGAATGTTTCATGTTTTATAATTTTTAGTTTTTAAAAAATAAGAAATACAAAATAATAAAAGTCGTTTGAGAATAAACCGTTAATTAATAGCTATTCTTTTTGCATAAATAGGTAGATACGCTACAATGTAATCAAAATACAAATAGCAAATACTTATAAAAAAACTATTTGACTGTATTTTTTATTTTTTGTTTGTCTGTTGTAACAATTCACAAGGAACCTTTTATCGCAATTTAATATTATTTTCATCATGTTAAAATAGTTAAAACTTAAAATTTGTTTTTATTTATAATTTTAGATACCTAGTCTAGATTTGGAACATCTCATTATATATATATAAAAAAAATAATAATACTTCTCTAATAACAAAAAATAATCGACATTTCTGAATAAATGTAAAATATCAAAAATATTTTATCAAAAATACAAAATCGATTTTTATATACTTCAGAATTTTTGAATTTATTTTTATATACACATTTATAAAATTAAATGTTATTAAAATAACAAAAATATATTAATTTTGATTATTATATGATTGATTTTATTTTTCATTTTTTCGTGTTTCGCATTGTGTCACGCCGCACGTCTGTTTAGTTTCAGCCTTTAGGTCATGAACCTCTGGTCATAGCTCTTGTAAGTCAATGTCTTCAATACCCCTATGAATCCTCTTAAAAATAAGTTTTTTAGTATAAATCTATAATATAATAATTTGTTTGTATGTTGAAGGTAGTGAATGGAATCATAAAGCCAATACATTAAACACTTATCGGTTTCACAAGTATAGGACTGAGATATTATTGATTTGTCGTTTTTTAAATGTGTATTTTGTTTAAAAATATTAAACAAGTCTTCATATACATTATATTTTGTTTAGTTAACTGTAAATTGGTTTTAATAATATACGTATTTTATATTAATAAAAATAATGTATTCGGCAATGTTGCAATACCCATCATAATATCATCTCAATGTTGAATTAAATATTTTCTTATACAGTTGTATTATATACTTGTACCACGATTCACGATAGTCATATATACAATCTATTAAWTTTTTTTTTTTGGCAATGATCAAGTCAAAAATATTACATTAATAGCTATTAATTTTGTGCAAAAATATTTATGGTTTGTGTTGGAGGATTCTTGGCTCTGGAAGATACCTATACTGTGTATCTACATGTATATAATGTTTAACGTAATTTATTAAATATATACGCTCAATGGCGTGAAGTAGATTATATTAAATGTATCAATCTGTGAATTTTATTAGTTCTTGTAATCTAAATATTTTTTATATAATTTTCAAGGGATATATATTTATATTTCTATTAATAAAAATTACAACAGACAAATACAAGTTCAGTCGCCGAATAACTGAACATTTGGATATATTATTTTGTAACTATTAGTGGATTTGAGTACCGTTATTTGACTATAATAAATACTATAATAACATACTTTTATGCCTTAACTATAAATTGAAATAGTTTGTAAAACTAAATGTAATCTGTTGTAAAAAAGGCTTTTAAAAAAAAAAAAAATGGTACTTCTGTATTATATATCGCTCTGACGCAAAGCGTAAAAGTTGTTAAATGTATATTAAAATTTAAATTAGTACCTAGCATTATCTTAAAAAGTTAGAATTATATTTAAAAAAAAATATTTTGTGTACTTTATACTTATACTTTAATATAAAATTGTATCAGAATATTTATAATAATATATATAAAATAATAAAATAAAATGAAAACATATAGTTGAATTAATTTAGAATTTTAGTTACACATCTATTAAAATGACTGGTCTTAGATCTTCTCCTTTAAAATATCTCAGTGATGTAATTATGGTGGGGGGGGGAAGATTTCATCATATGAGGATATCCTCCACCAGTCTTTTAAAAAAAAATACAGAATTAAACTCTCTTAAGCACTTGAATTTAATAGATTTTAAGATTTTAAAATGATAAAAAATAATTCATGGACATTATCATAGTTGAGATTTTTATATCTATAGTCGTTGATTGGCGATTTAATAGAGAAGTCATAGCGTGGCTTCCACGTAAAGGCTGCTTGAATTCAAACGGCTATTACACGGGCCCGCATCAATATACATGTAATGTATACTCTATCGTCCGGATTAGTTCAGTTAGTTTTAATTATTCTTTTACAGTGTACCTGTTATTTTTATTTTACACATACCTTTTTATAATTGTTTTATTAAATAAGTAATTAAAAACTTAATTACTATTGACTAATTAGGATTTATTGCCTATTTATCAATTGCATCCTATTAACAATTTTAATAGATTGTATTCCAAATTATG